ACCGATGGGGCTATTAGACGAGAATGTAAATTGTTTCTTTTACTTGATATTTGATTATATATAGTCCTTAGAAAAGTCTTTTTTTTTTTTCTTTATCCTCATATTATGACCTCATATCACCATTGCCTAAATGAAGAAATCTGCCTTTTCGGTATCGCAGATCAGAAGAATTCCAGTCATCAAATTACTTTGATAAATTTAAGGTACTTTTGCTTAGAAGTGGACTCAGATGCTTCCCTGCTGAGAGTCAAACACATTTTCAACCTCTTTATAATAGCATTTTCACTGACTTAGTTTCAGCAGTTTGGCACTGAGGCACTAAGGACGGTTGACCTACAAACTGTAAGTCATTAAAATCTTTACCCCTCCTGGCTAGTATATTCATTACTTCTGGGGCTAGTTAATAGCACTTAATGCTTCCTGATGGGAGAGCCCTTTTCATAAAATTGTTTTTATGAAGTCTATTCTTCAGTTGTGTTCTAATGGTGCCACTTCTGCTGGTTATTTTGGGGTGAGGATATTAAAAAGTTGGTAGCAAAATAAATTCTGTGGTTATTAAATATTCCTATCTATCTGATTTCCCAGCTGGGCTGAAGTAGCTTTTTTTTTTTTTTTTTCCTGAACTCAAATCTAGGGTGATGTGATCTTTTTGATCATTTTACATCTAATCTTAATCTGGATTATTGCTGCCTGGAAGTAGAAGGCGTGTTTTCAGACACTCTGATTTTCAGACTGACTCAAGTCAGTTTTTTTGTGATTGATGTAATTCTGTTGTATATAACCTCTACTGTTAGACCTTTCTTGATCGTAAGTCCTTGCAATGTCACTCTTCGTTCTGTATTTCTCAGGCTGTTTCCATCCTGTCTTATCCGCTTCCTGACAGAACTCCAAATCATTGCTCTACCTCCTACTAATTGCTTCTACAAGCTTTTTTAGCATTTTATGCTTCATGATTTTATTAAGGAGACAATGCAAGGCAAGCATAGAAAAACAATTAAACTATTTCAGGCTTTTCATTCTAACACATCCTTTGTGTTGCAGAGACTTTGGAAATGGTAGAAATCACTGTCTTGTCTTAGTATCTCCCATGAATGCTGAACCTCCATTCCGTGTTCTGGATTTGGTAAACTTATGGGTTAAGTGACTCTTCCTGCCGTCTCTATCTTCTACCTTTTTCTCCTCTTTCATAAGAGAAAGCCTGCTTTCTCATGAAAAATGTAGTATTATTTTTCTTAAATATTTTATGTTATTTTTTACTTGTTCATCGTTGGGACCACTCTGCTTTTCCAGTGATATTTCTTTGTAGACAACCGTTCACTGTCAAAGATTTAAGGTCAGTGTCCCTTCTTGTAATTCTTTCCAAGGTGTGACCACCATGAAGAATAAAGAGTATTTAGGATAAATGCTCAATTATTGCAAAATATGTATTTTAGTATGTCTGTGTGAAAACTGGACTGAATGGTACAATTAAAAGGAAAAAAATGCTCACAAAGCACTTCAGGAGTACCCGTGTTCACAGAGGTATATCCTCAGTGTCTCCCATACAACTTCTGCACAATTGCAGTTGGTTTTCATTAGACCTATATTTACTCATTTCTTCTGAAAATCAAGAGACAGGTCCATTGTTCACACACACGTAAGGCGTGCGGCTGTATGGAGTAATTGGTGAGTTAATTTCAAACAGTATGTTTTACAGCAGAAGGATTGTCTAGGGCCCTGAGTGTTTCACCGAAAGATGGCAACTGCTTTAAATACTGCCAAATGTAGATGTTAATGGCAAAGAATTAATTGCTGAAACAGATCTTAGAGCAGGAGTTTCCAAACTGTGCATTGCAAGCCCACAGCTTGGTCAGATAACTTACATTGCTTGAGCTTAGACTTATTTGAATTGATTTGTTTTTCTTTACCGGTGCTTCTGTTTTTTCTTGTAGAAGTGTGGTTTCTGTCAATACGTAGAGAACTACAAATGCATACATAAGTGAAGTTCACCAAACTGCTCCAAGGTTGTCAGTCTTCATTCATTTTTTGTCAGTGGCTTTTAGGTCAGAGAAATGTCTCTTAATCTTGGCAGTTTGAGTGTCCTTAAAGACTACATTTTTTTATTTTATTTTTTTTTTAAAGCTAGCTACAGAATACCACCCTTCAGGTTTGTCATTTGAAATATTCACCATTTCAGATATCAGTTTTCCTGGTCAGACTCTCCAAGTCCATTTTTCCCCATTTGCTTAAGCAAACTCTTCTTAGCACTGTTTTGTCAGGTTTGTTTTTGTTTATTTGCATGATTTTTTTTTTTTAAAAGGCAAAAATTAACTCTCAAATTGTTGGAGAAACTTCTAGAAGTGACCATCTACTAGATGGAAAGGAGTCATTTTTCTAATGCAGGCAGAATGCACCTAAACATTACCCTGATAACAAAGATAATCGTACTGGGTTAGATTAGTTCTCTGTCTAGTCCAATACCCTGTATTTGGAAAGGAGCAAAAGCTGGATGCCTAATGAAAAGTTGTAAGACTGGAGTTAGCGTGTAGGTGTATAGTTCTTTAAGCGTTCTCTTAGCTTTCTACAATTTGAAGTGTTTCTGTAAACCAGAGGTGATGTCTTAATATTGTTGCTGTGCAGGGAAATTGTTCATCCCTTTCAATCATAGAAACTTTTAAACTTTTAACATCCATAACATCCAGTGGCAGAAATTTCCATGGCAGCTTATTTAAAGGTTGTGTGAGGAGCCACTTTTCCCCATATTTTCTTCCTTATTCACTATTATGGAGCTTTGTCATGGCTCCCACAGGCACTTTTTTTCCGTGCTGAAGAGTACTAGCCCACTCCATTTTTTCTCTTACAGAAGTAACAGACACAATTAAAGTTATGATAAGTGACGATTTAAAATGCATGTTTTGCGCGTCACCTATTTTACGCCAAGACAGAGAGTCTCCAGCATGTGGCATTCACAAGTACATTCTCTAAGTGACAGAAATGAGCAATGATGCCATGATGTCCAACCATCGTGGTTTTCTCATGCATTGCTAACTTCCGTCTATGAAATTTTATTAGAGCATTGCACCTTTTATTTTTCTGTGTTAGTATGGGCAGACAGTCCACTCTAGCAGAGGAACTGCAGTACAGCCTGTAGATCTTTTTGCTATAATGTTTGCTTATATACTCGGTCTGCTGAAAATTGTCTTTTACATTTTTGTATGTACATTGTTCTAATTTGTATGCAAGGCTGTTAATGTTTACGTGGAAATAAAAAGGACAAAAGTTACATGGTCTGAGCAGCAGGTCATGATTACTGTATTTATACTGTTCACTATTCAATGTTGTTGCGTATGCAAAAGTACTGAGAGTGTCCTAATTTCCAAGTATATGATATAAATTTTCGTTTTTCCCCTTAAAAAATGCTTTCCGTGACTCCATTTCTTTAAGCCTTCTTAAATGCAGTTGATTGCAAAGTTAGCAGTCTATGGAGTTCTCTAAGTTCACCGTTTTGATTTTGACACATATTTCTTTACAGAAAGAGGAATAAAAATACGGTATTTGCACTTTTAAAAAGACTGTTCTCATTTAATTGCATTGCCATAGGGTGGTTTTATGTTGTGTCACAGACACGTAAATCTTTGCAGAATTACTGTACGACCTTTTTGTCAGTGAGGAGGACCTAGCAGTAGTAAGGCAGTAATGGACAAGTCACCATAATTACAGTATTTTCTTTCATGTGTTCAGCTGGAGACATCTACAAGTTGTGAATTTTTCATTTTCTTTTTCAAATTCAAGGCTTCTTTTAAAAATTAATGCTAAAACAGATGAAAGATAAATGTGGGTTGAAATCAGTTCGTATTTCAGACTTTAAAACCTTACTCGTTTACACATCATTACTTCCATTTGCTTGCTTCTTATTAGAGCTTTGCTAAGCAATATTTATTTCTTTTATCTCTTTATTTGCATACTCAAAAAAATTCAACAAAGTGAAGCACAACTGAAGTAACCTGAGTACCAACAGAGCTGGATTTGATTTTCTCTGTGTTGCTGATGAATTCATTCCAAAAATACCTGTTCTAATATTGGCCAGAAATACATGTACAAAGGAGAAATGAAGTAATGAAGTATTGGTTAAAAAATAGCAGAGAAAGTAAAGTGGAAAGTTTCCTTTTTATTTTTCAGTTAAGAAGTTTATGAAGAGAGAAGTTTTACAGACTTTTTACAGAAAAAAAAAAACCTCTAAGTTGTACTGTATCACTGTTCAATTTCTGATTACAATATTTTAAGTCTCACATGGAAGAGAAATTAATGTTTCCACTTAGTTGCAATGACAATATAAAAGTATCTGTGGTAATTTTTTTTTATATGTCTAAATTTTTCTATTGGTTCTGAATATTATCTGGATTCATAGATACTTCCAAACTATGCAACCATTGACTGTGAAGGAATAATGGGTACTGTTATGAACAATATGAAGTATACCCCTAAAATCTGAGAAAACTCTTGCTTTGTCTTTCTTTCCCTTGGTACACAATTAAGACCCAGTTAGTCATCAACTTTTGAACCCAAGTAAAGCTCTGTTAGGTTGGTAAAATTGCTGGGTAATTTAGGTCACCGAAGGTCACCTGGTCTAAGGTCTCAGCTCCACTCAAAGCAGGGCTGACTTATGAAGATGGATCCAATAATGTGATAGAAATGTCTCTGCCATTATAAATTTCCTCCTGAACTGGGTGACTTGGACCTTAAGAGTCTCATGGTAGCAGTGTTGGCTAAACCAGTCAACATTATTTTTAATAATGGATGTCTTCTAAGAGAATCAGAACCACCTATGATACTGCCATCTCTGTTCCCAGTTTGCCGTCTCCTGCTTGCATATATTTTGTGTAAAAGATGGTTAAAAGACTAAAAATTTATTTGTATAGCAATGCATCCAGTTATAGGCAAGCTTTGATATAAAACACTAGATTGATCTGAATGTTTTACATTCCTCTTTTTTTTTTTTTTTTCTTTTTTTTCCTTCCCAGTGCCAGGATTTCCCTACCCTGCTGCAACTGCAGCTGCTGCCTACAGAGGTGCACACCTAAGAGGCCGAGGTCGCACGGTGTACAACACGTTTCGGGCAGCAGCGCCCCCCCCTCCAATTCCAGCCTACGGCGGGTAAGGAGATCAGCTTCTTTTTACCTGTTAGCATGGCTCTCCCAGGCTACCAAGTGGTTGTGACTGTGGTGCATGCTGATCGTGTCTCAGCGCAGAAACAACGCAGCATGCGACCAATCCCAGCGCTGGAAGTGGTGCACCTTGCACAGAGTATTGAAAAATGACTGTAATTTGTACTGCCATGGTTGGTGGCCTTAAGCATTTCAGATGTCACATATTGTTATGTAAATGCTCTTAGAAACGGAATGCTTTGGAACAGAGAAATTGTTTCAGCTAAAGATATATTTTTGATGATTGCAAACATCTGGTTATTAAGGAGGTTGGATCAAGTTAACTTCTTTTTCTTCAAATCATCCACTGAAAGTTGTCACTGGACTGGAAGGCTTAGTGATGGTAGTTTTTTTTTTATTATTTTATTGCAGTTTGTTTAGTTTTTTTAGTTGACATCTTTACCACGATAGGAGTCTGGGGTGCTTCTCTCTTACTATTTGCTTAAATAATAACTTAAGATTTCACTGTCAGTGACCCACAGTTACTAAAACCAAGTAGTAAACTAAGGAGCAATGGAGAGAAGTTCATAGTAATAATTTATAGAAACTCAATAGTCTTCCATTATTTCAGAATATTTTAATTTATTTTTTTATAGGTATATTTTTGAGGGAAAGAAGGAAGAAACAAATTCTCCTGTAGCTATGTAAATGACACAGAAAGGTTTTGTATGCTGCATGTGATATTTAAGAGCCCTAAGATTGTCGAAATATTTTCAGCTATTAAGAAATCGAGAAGTTTGAAAAATCAGAAAATTTAGCAGATCCCAGGCCAGAATAGGACTTTGTCTTAAAAATTTGAAGTAGATAATGCCACCACCTCTCTGTGGAGCAACTAGATCTTTCTGAGAAAGTGTCAGGAATGGTTTGCAAAGTGAGTGAAGGTGATCTCTCTCCCTCTCTCCCCGCTCTCACTAAAATCCTGTTCAGCAGCTTGTCTGCTCTCACTGCGGATGTCCCCTTGGAAGGGAGCTTGCAGCACAAGACCCTGTCCTCCTACTTCGTTATGGCAGAAGATGGGTGCCCTTCAGTAGTTGCCTCAGTTTCTTATGAAGGCTGTGTTCTATTAAGCCAAAAGGCATGTCTTTTTCTAGAAAAGTTTGCTAATCTAGTCGATCAGTCATTGAGCTAGATTTTCAGGGATATTTAAGACAAACACTTTGGCCATTCCTTCACATTTGGGCAGTTATCACCTCAGAGAAGATGTTCTGAAAATGGTTATAAAAATGATGCCTGTCGTGGTTTGAGGTTATTTTGTAGGAGTGGTGTTTGGTTTGGTTTTTAGTGGTTTGTGTAGTTTAATAAGCAAAATAATATTAATTTAATAAGCAAAACAGTATTACCACTACTGGAGGAAAACACCATGATTTTTGTAGATTGCCTGACTTACCTTTGGACAAGGATGGTGTCCCACTGAAGTTAATCCTACTGTTGCACAGACTCTCATTTAGAGTTAGTCCAGGAATTTGTACATGGCAATGATGGGAACAATTTTAGAATGCCCTACAAGAGCTGATTACAATCTGAATGTTTCATCTAATAAATGGGTACTGCATGTAAAGAAAGTGGACTCTTTCCATCTCTGCTTAGTTTAAAAATCAATTCTTAAAATTTAACATAGTGTGCAATATGTAGTGAGATAACAGCATGGGTTATTACCAGTTTCATGATATCACAAACATAATACCTTAGTTTAATACAAAGTCATAAAGTTATATAAGAAAATATATACCAGCTACATGTGATACAATTTTTGAGTTGGATAATACTTTTTTTGTTGTATTTGCAAAAGTAGTAAATACTTTCAGACCAGTAAGTAACTTAAATTTGCTTTAATTTAAGGGGCCACATGTGGGTGCTCTGTGTGTGCATGTGTGTTATGTAAGTTTATACTTTAGTTAGTACAGTGACTCAGCAGTTTTTTTATTTCGAAGTGCAATACATATATCTTCTTATATAATTGTACTGCTGACTTTCAGCATCTTTAGGTAGTTAAGTTAGATGTATGAGTTTTGTGAACTCCTGTTGTAAGTTAATACAGAAGTTTTGTACTGCAGTCAGGTTCAGCATTTTTTTTTGGTTCCAAGAGGTCAGCTCAGCGCTCATACATTCTTCTGCAGGATGGTTTGACAGTTAGCTTGGACATATCTCGCCTATTACCTTCATGACTTGTCCTTAAAGCTGGCTTCAGAGGGAGCCATGCATTGCATCATTAAGAAGTCACATCTTATTATTCTGATGACTTCTAGCTGTCTGGTAATCTAGGGCTCACCTTGCCAGTCACAGTTTGACTCTGCAAAAATTTTCAATTAGTAAGCTTTGTCTTAATTTAGATAGGTCCTAGTTCAGATAATAGTCAGGTTTAATTTTCTTCATCCACCTATCCTTCATAATAAGGCACTGCTTTCTGGTGCACAAAACAAATTTCCAACTTCTGTAATTCATAGATCAGTGCGGAAATAATACATATCTCTGTTGCACTGATCCACAGTTGGATTAATAAAGCTTTATTCTGAAATAATTTCTTTTGCCTAGCGTATTAGATCTTGTGCTAGCAACTTCACTGATACAGTAGCGCAATTTGGAGTTTCTTTGCAGTGCTTTGTTCTGTGCTTCACCCATTATGTACTCTGACCTATTAAAGAAGCAAAAAAGAGTTTTCATCAGAAAAAAATCCTTAATCAATGAAAGTAAATTATAAAAATGCGATTTTCAGTCACAATGGGAGTAGGAGTCAAGGAAAATTACAGAGACAATAAAGAGATCACAGAGAATGAATCAACTTACAGAAGGAAGCAAACAACTTGGAATATCATTTGTTGATAAGAAAAATGGAAGAAGCTTTGAATGTTATTTTGCAATTCATTTAGTAGCAATTTCCCTTTTTTTCACTCAAGGAAGGAGCCCAGCCTTAAAGCCAAGGAAACAGTTTCAAAATAAAATATTTTCGATCATTTAAAAAAAAAAAAGACATTGATTTTGTATACTGACAGATATAATCTGAATTATAAGTTTACATTAAATTCTAGCAATGTTTAGTTAGAAAAATACTGCTTTTCTTTTTGAAGAAGTCACATGTAAGTGTAAAATAGAAAGCTGAAGTTTGAAATGAACTTTTTCATTTTCTTATATTTCATTAACCTTAGAAAGCTTATTACTGAAATAAAATATAATACTTGATCTGAAATAGTTTTTTTCACGCTTACTTGTATATATTACAAAGTTTTGGAACTGAAGCTGAATCATTTTGATTTAAATTTGGAAATCAACCGTAAAGCTAGGAACATGTGTTTCCTAGACTAGTGTGACATGCTGACATGTTTATCTTGGCAGCACTGACTCAGGATTCCCTGCTCTGTAACAAAAGCTTTCTTTGTATTCCATCTCCTTTGACTCTGTAGTTGTTCTTGTTCATGGGTGTCCTGTTGGATACTGACTGGGACCTTTTCTTAGAAACTGTTTATCAACAAAGTTAAGAAATGGCGATGAGTGCCGGGTTGTAAAGAAATCTAGAAAACTTTGTGGTCATTAGGTAAAACAAGGAGTGACTGAGGGACTTGAGGTTGTTTAGTCTGAAGAAAAGGCGGCTGATGGGAGACCTTATTGCTCTCTACAGCTACCTGAAAGTAGGCTTTATGGAGGTGGTCTCTTCTCACAAGTTACAACTAATAGGACAAGAGGAAATGGCATCAGGTTGTGCCAGGGAAGGTTTAGGTTAGATATTAGGCAAAACTTCTACACTGAAAGGGTTATCAAAGACTGGAACAGGCTGCCCAGGGAAGGGGTTGAATCGCCATCCTCGGATGTATTTAAAAGCTGTCTAGATATGGTACTCAAGGACATGGTTTAGAATTGGCCCTGGTTGAGTTAGATAATGGTTGGACTTGATGATCTTAAAGGTCTTTCCCAGCCATAACGATTCTATGATTATATGAAGTTAGTGTGATTCATACAGAAAGCTCTTACCTACTGTGCCTCAGAGTTACTGGGAAACAGCAAACATGGCATGCTTCACTCCATCTGAGGAAAATTGTTGATTATAGCTGTGTTTAAGGCCATTGTTTTCTTATAAGTCAAAACAGTACACATGCTTTAAAGTGTGTCATTTAAAAATGAAATCAGTGTTCGTGAGATCTGTAGTACTACATAATAATTAATGAATCCTTTACTTGCAAGTGAAGCATTTCAGTAATTCCTTGAAATAGCGTCTTATTTATTAGTTCATGGAAAATGCTTCAATTTTAGCATCTGTGGAATCATTTCTAATGCCTTGAATACCTACAATGTGCAGCTTACTCATAACTTGGTGTGTACAATTCATTTATGTACCATAAAAACCTACTGAAACTGAAATGAGGGAGTAAAGCTTCATTTGTGTGAGAAAACTGAATGCTGAAATTTAAAGAGTTTGGAGATCTACATTGCATGGAGAGCTTAGCTTCAGCACTATGCTGCAGGAGGAGGAGAAGCAAGAGATGGTTGTGTTGTGGATGGCATGAGAGGGCACGGACATCAGAGCCTGTCAGTACAGGAGGATGTAGCTGTGGAGCTAAGAGCTATAGCCCACTTATCTCAGGGGGCTCTGCAGGAACTTCACAGCAAGATCAGCGACTTGGTTGAGGAGACAAGCAGTTACTATTTTAAGCTGACTAAATTCCTTTCATACCTTCTTTCTTGGGGCAGCTCCAATGTGGGAGGATTTGAGCTCGCTGCTTCTTTGACCTGTCTTGCAGGCTTCTCTCTGGGTATTAGTGTTTTGTGCAGAACAATTTTTAAATGATAAAAAAAAAGGCATAAATACAAAAATAAAAGTCTTTTTTGGCTTTACCTGCATCTTTCTAGGATGCTTTTTGCTATTTGAAAAGAAGAATAATAAAAAAACCAACCCTAAATAAAATTGTGAAGTTGGGTAGGGTGGAGGAGAAGTAATAGACTATTCAGAAACTGTTCCCT